GCCGCGGGGGTGCGGGGCAGAGCCGTGGGGGGCCAGTGGCCACTGGCAGAGCCCCAGGGTCCCCCCAGCAGGATGCGGCCTGAGCATCGGGGTGCACCAAAACAGGCTCCCTGCCACCCCGGGGGTGTCATGGCCGGGCCCAGAGGTGCCACCCTGCTGGCCTGGGAGGTGACTGATGGAGCTGATCTCTTCTGTTCTCCCTCATCAAGCTCTTGCAGGGCCACAAGACCAGCTGGAAAAAAAACCCAAACATAAACAAAATCAGATTCACAGATGCTTTCCCTTCCATGTCCTGGGAATCAGGGGTGTTTTCTGCTCCTGCCTGTGCCCAGCCTTGGGGGCAGGAGTTCAGTGGTCTGTGGGGTGAGCCGGGCACTGCTGGGGTGGGGAATCCCTGACTTTGTGGTGGGGTCTCTGTCCCTCACCAGCCTCCTTCGTGTTCATGCAGCTTCTGAAAAATCACTGTGTCATGTTGATGGCACTTCACTCATGCCATCTTCTCATCCTTTCTCCCTGAGCCTCTTCCATCCTCCCAGGGCCTCACGCAGCAACATGCTGCCTTAGGTCTGTGCCCACTGTTCCCCCAGACGTGGTCTGTGCTGAGGGTTTTTAGGGGGTACTTCAGCCCTAGGCTGTGTCTTGTCCCAACAACTGTCCAAATCCCCATGCTGCCTCTCCATGGGCCACCGCACCGATCAGGACAAGCTTTTCTGGAGTGATGGCTGGAGGCACTGGCTGAGCCCACCAGGTCCCGTTATTCTGGCCAGGCTTGGCGGTGCCTCCTTGGAGGCTGGCCAGCCTTTGCTTCCCTCCTGCCCCACGGGCATGTGGTCAAGGCAAGTACCACTGACCCTGAGTCAGCAAAACCTCCCGGCCCCACGGCACTGCATGACTCAGCAAAACCCCACGTGTCTCTTTTCGGGCAAGGGGCCAATGTGCAGTGGGTCCCAGCATCTGCAGCCTGACCCCAGAGGCATCACTGTTGCTGGGGGCTCCAGCTCAGGGGTATCCTCCTCGTGTCCCCCCGGGTGTGGCAGCCCCAGCACTGAGTGCCTGTGGGTGGTAGTAGCTCAGACATAAACTAACCTGACTGTGGTCCCTCGCAAGCAAAACCACGCTCTCCAAGGGTCCTAAACCCCTTTGCAAATGTGCTTTGCAGATAAAAGGATAGTCCTGACGCCAGGCCTGGTGATCCTCTACACCCTTTCAGGCTTTCCCAGAGCCTGTGGCGGAGATGGTGAGGTACCACACCCTCCCTTCTCCTCTTTGAAGTGGTTGGGGAAACTGTACCTGGCCAGACAACGTGCACCTGGCCCCTGAGCTGGTGCACCTAAGGCAGCTCCTCCGTGAGTGTTTCTAGTCCAGCTAGTCTCTCCTAGCATCCCGTGGCTGAAGTGTAGGCTCTGGCATGCAAAGCTGGGCTGGTGAGGAAGGCATGTCCCGCACTGCAAACCAAAGTCTTTCAGCAGGGACAAGCAGTCTGGACCCAAACTATGTCTGTTCTTTTAAGTTCCAAGGGATTAAGGGCAAGCTTTGCTGTTAGCAAAGCTGTTATGAACAACCCTTTGCTTGGACTTCATGGTTGCAGAGCTTGCGTCTGCTTCTGGAGCTGCTCTCATACCAACACGAGAGAGTTGCTGCTTTTAGATGTGCTTCTCTGAAGTGATTTATGTATCCCTCACACTGGTCTACTCACCAGTGTGAGGCACTTCCCAATTGCTTATTGGGATAAAGGGAGGATAGGGCTGAATCGGGGAATGTTACAATACTGATCCTCTCCTGGGTGCTAACAGGATGGGTAGGGATGGTGGGCTTGTCCCCAGAGTGCTTCATTTGACTCCAGCACTTACCACTGATGGTTTTGGGGCTGACACTACCGTTTCTGCATGTTGGGAGCCCGGTGGCCCCAGCAAGGACCCAGGATTTCTGCATTTGGGCTCCCTCAGCACTCCCTCAGCAATGTTTGCCCTGATGTCTAGCTCTCGAGAGGTGCAGTGGTTTTTAACCAGGAGCTAAGAGCACATCTGGGTATTTATAGGCTGAGAGCTGCACCATGTTATCTTCAAAAGATAGATGGGTATGAGCCCGGGGTTAAGGTGTTTTTATACATTTTTTCCTGTTTGTGGAGGAAGACCCAGAGTGCCATAGCTGAAGCATCTGGAGCAGGCAGAGATATGTGTGAGAGACAGCTGAGGGACCTGTCCCTCTCACTTCTACTTTTGACATGGTGGATGAACCCCTTTCCTTGTTGGTCCTGCCCCATCACATCCCCCTGGCCCCAGAGGGTGAGCTGGAGTGCTGTCCCTGGCATCCACAGTCATGGGTGTGAGATGACGCACCCCTGGGAGTGGGCTGTGCTTTCACAACCTTGATCCCTGCTGGAGAGGATTCCCAAGAGGGGGGAGTTGGATGACTCAGCCTTGGTAGCTCCCCTGGGGAAGGTGCACCCCAGTCCCAGCCCTGGGAGTCACCCCAGTCCACCCAGTGTCACCCACCCTCTGCGGGTGATGGCAGGATGTACCACCTGCCCTTTGCCATGTGGATGGAGACCTGACGCCATTTAGTTTCAAACACTATTTTCTGGGGGGCTCTTGCAGCTCCCCACCTGCAGTCTGGCGCCTTGGTAGCTCCCCTGGGGAAGGTGCACCCCAGTCCCAGCCCTGGGAGTCACCCCAGTCCACCCAGTGTCACCCACCCTCTGCGGGTGATGGCAGGATGTACCACCTGCCCTTTGCCATGTGGATGGAGACCTGACGCCATTTAGTTTCAAACACTATTTTCTGGGGGGCTCTTGCAGCTCCCCACCTGCAGTCTGGCAGCACTCTGGCAGGGATGTTATGGCAGCCTCTCTCTACTTACTTATATTTTGCTGTGCATTT